TCCTCCATTATTGTTTTGTACCATTTTCATCTCTCTCCTCTCATTGTAGATGAGACAAGACATGAATCTCCCTTAGAGGCCTCATCAACCGTGGCCAAGCTGTTACAAGAGGTAGGTGTGTTGGACAGTAGTGAACTACGGTCTGTTTCTGAAACAAGTCCAAGAACATTCAGGTTCAACTTGAAGCACACACTGCAAGCTTACAGCTAATGCAGCATAAATCTGTCTTCGATGGAAAAAAAAAATCATTTGTAGTTCCTAAACAAATGTACATATGTTGGCCTTACACCCACAAAGGGGCTGTACTTGCCCCTAACCCCCGTGGTGGGAGCCCCACGATGTGGGAGCACCCAAGGTGTAGGAGCATCCAAAGTGGAGGAACCCAGTGGTTTGGGAATACCCACAGTGTAAAAGAACCCACAGGATGTTCACTCCTACACCAGACCCCTTAATGCCTCGGTGTACCACATTGCACCTCCAAATCTTTCCAGTGGAGCAGACCAACATTTTAACTCATTTCCTTCATAAAAAGAAAGTGGCACTTTGATTGACGACAATCAAAGTGACACACAGATTGAAAGTTCCAGTGTGCTGTGTTGCTTTATATGACCGTCGATTTCAACTTGATTATCTCAGGATATTTCAAGTGATGCGAGGGCAGCAGACAAGTTATTCATGATCAACGCTCTTATTGCTCAGCTGTCTGTGCTCCAGAGTAAGTTTTTGTTTTCCATATTTGTATGAGAATTTGCAAAGTGAGACTATTTACAATCTTGCAAACTTGTAATGTGACTGAGTTGGGACAAAGACTTTACAACTTCTGCCATACCTTTGTTTTCATGTGGCTAATCTTTTTACTGATTTATTAGTTTTGGATATTTCAGTCGAGTTGTGGAGTCAGTATTTTCTTTATTTTGCAGAAGCCAATTATGAGAAACGTGACTCTAAACGAGAGGAGTTGATAGACAAATCTACCGCTCAAATCCAAACCCTCAGTAAAAGTTTACAGGTAAGCAACAAGAAGTGACAGTATATGCTTTGTGCATGATCTATAGAGGGCAGTGAGTAGCGAACTCGTGTAATGCAAGTGAGGGCACATGTATGCACTTAAGCGCTGCGCAGCATGGGTATTTATTTTCAGTTGAATGTGCACCAAAATGGTGCCTTAGCTTGCTACTGTACAGGGCATAGATTCCCAGTGGTCTTGTAATTTAGGACAATTCACTGTCTCTTCTTGCACTGTGCCTCAAAATTCCTTCAATAATTTCCTCTCCCCAAGAGGCCTGTCTCTAATACATATTGACTCGTGTTTCAATTCTCAAACATGAAGTCACAAATCGTTCACCTGTGGAACAAGATGATGATTTTGGAGGAATATTTATCAACAGTTTTTGTTTTCATCTTCAGGCTGACTTTTCTCGGTTAGAGTTGGAGCTTCAACAGAAGACCCAGGAACTGTTACGAGCCCAACAAGCTCTGATGGAACAATCCCAAAACCAACCTACAGAACAGGGTCGCCAATCCAGACAAGAACCTGTCTACATACGAACACCAGAAGGGATGCAGATTGAGAAATCAGAGGAAATGGCGGCCAGGAAGAAGGCCAACAGAATCTCCTCATCGGCCGATTCAGGAGGCAGCACGACAGATTCTGAAGAATCGGGACCAGTGGAGTCATCCGAACCAGAGGAAGCATATACACCTAAGGAACGGCCAAGTAGCCTCGTTATGAGCAGTGAAGAAGGGGACCAGTTAACAAGAATGGTTGAGATTGGTGCCCAAGTCCATCAAGCAGAATCTCAGGAAGCTATGCCTATCTCCAATGAGGGATTAGTTAACCTCCAGCGTGCTCAAGTGCGTAAGGTCACTGATGTAGATAGTGCTGAGGTAGACGATATCATGGAAAGACTTGACGTCAAGACGGCATCTGTGAATGGCATTGAGGATCAGACACAGTCTCGGGAAAACTCCCAATCAACAAGGGAACTTGTGGACAACATGGAAGAAATGACCGAGTCAGCTCAGGAATTGGCCATTGGAACTGTCACAATGGCTGAAGAGAGTTGGGGGACACCTCCAAAGGAATTAGACACTTTTAAAAATGAGTCAGTGGAGGTCGGCATGGCAACCAGACTGGATGATCTCTTGAACGATAGCGACAGTGATCAGGAAACGGTGGTTGCCAGTGGGAATTATAAAACAGAGCCGTTGGAGCAAGACACTGATTTGAACAATAGTCCTGAAATTGTGAAATTGCAAGAAGTGTTCTCAACATCGGAGAGTGACCGTCATGTGGTATCTCTTGACCAGTCATTACTGGAGGAAAGGTCATCAAGTCAGAATGGTAGGACAGATTCAACCGCACATCAGCAGCAATTTGACATGGACTGCTCCAAATCAGAGTCACTCTCAGAAAGCTTGTCGTCACAAAGTGCAAATGTTCAACTTCCAGAAACAATTGCACAGACCTCAAGAGGTGAGCCTAGCAGAACGGACAGGCAACCTACGAGCGTTGTACCGCCTACCAGTCAAGAGAGCAATCAGGAAAACACGAGGCAAGCTGATGAGGATGTTGGATCACAAGGAGGGGAGACAAAAGCCAGTGGTGAGTCATGAACTTGAAACCATGCAGCAATCAATGACAGGTGATCTGGTATTCTCTTTGAAGCTAACTGACGTGACAGTGGAAGTCCTTCAATTCCTTAATGATCTCCAATGCAGCTGTAATGGCAAAGAAATTGAATTGTTTCAGTTACTCGGGTACAGAAGTCTAACTCTCTTTAAACAACGTCTTAACATGGAAATTGCATGAAGCTTGAGTCCGTGCATTCAAGGAACATTTGTTCGTTGTTAGGACACACAACGTCCAAGTCGTTATAGCGCTGAAAACTTGTGTCAAAATCCACAACTCAACGAGCCAAACATTCACAAAATGCCTCAGCATATCTTAAAGATGTTAAACTTCAAACTTTACTTTGTGGAGTTATTGTACCTTGTCACATTTCAGTCTTGGATGCATCATGTTGATCTTAATGAAGGGGGTTCTTGGCCAGATTTGCTTATTGCCACATGCATATTCATGGAACGTCCTTCACCAGTGGTTTCAAATCAAATGGTAGCTGTCCAAATGGAGTTTTAGTCAAATGTCAAAATGGTTGACCTGGTAATCTCCTGTGTGCTGCATGATAGTGACTGGATAACCGTGTACGCATCCCTCATGGACATGAATATTTATTGGAGAAAATGATCCTCCTACTATACCTGGCACATTTTATTACTAGACTGGTGCTTTCATCCATGCATGAATGCAGCACTTGTAAATGCATCCTAGTACCCTGAAGACTCCTACCTGAATACATGTAGTACACTGACATTGAGTTTATTGATTTCCATTTTGTCATGGCTGATAAGCCATTCATTGACTGCTCGAAAACTTTATCATGGGAAATGTTGTCACCTGCCAATGAAATCCAATTACTTAACCCTAGCTGTTTGAATAACATATGGTATTCTGGGTCTTGTCATTGAAGGCAAATTGTTGTGTGATTAATTTGATTCTTCTAACATGCTACAGTTCATGTGCCTGGTGGCCATTCTTTGTGCCTGCTGATGCCTTGACCACAATTCACACTTTACCGTGTATGATATTTTTCACTCATGAATATGTATGAAACACATACATGTAACCGACTGACAAAACAATTAACTCACTTTGTTTTAACTCTAATCATGGCCTGATTGATGCATTCATCCGTTCATTTACATACATTCATATTCATTAATACTACCTTCTCTTTTTTTGTACCAGCCAGTGGAGGATCTTCTCCAGCCTTCAATCATGAATATTCATGTATTTTTCTTGCAGGCATTCTTTCTCAGCCAAAGAACATCACATATACTCACCCACCACACCTTGTGTGATGTATGTACTTGCTACCTGTACATGTATGTTCAGAGCTCAAAGTCTGTCCAGTGCAGTAACCCCTTTGTATCAGGCCATCATGCCGCTGTCTTCCTGAAAGCTTTTGTGTGACTCACAACCAAAGTTATTTAAAAACAAATGCTGCCTTTTGCTGTAGAAGTGTAGATGTCCCATACATGTAGTGGCACGAGAATTGGAAGACAGAGGCATGGATGTTGGGATCTCTCTTTGACGTTTTCTGCGTAGCTCAGGGAGCAAAAGGGTTAATGTACAATCCTGTCATGTTTCTAACTGGGTCTTGTCAGAACTCACACTTGACTGCTGTATTAACCTGTAGACTTTACTCATCTACATGTACTAAAGAATCCTGAGCTTTGATCTCATTGTGCTTTGAAGATACAAGCCAAAGTCATACATTTACCTGCCTTGTTTTCCAGAAGATTTGCCGCTGCTCTGTAGTCCTGCATCCAGCAGCAAAATGCGAATCTGGGATTTGTATCGGGCCTAGTTTGGTGTGCAGTAAATAATGTCATGATTAATGACATGTACATGTGGACCAAATGCGTATTGGATCCAAGCTCAGAGTTTCTACTCATTTGCATGATTCCCTCTCTCTGCTTATTTGTAGAAGTCATAAACTTTACTCATGCAGTTGACTGTTATGCGTTCTATGTTGGATTTCCTTCATGCATGTTGCATTCCATGTTATTTCTGGTTACCTGTTGTGTGCATTGTAAGGTTCATTTTCAGCTTTTTTTTTTTTACATTTTTCTGGCTCCGAGAAATTTAATTTTTTGACGTGTCCATGTTGGTCTACTGTGTGGAAAGTATCAAATGCAAACATGTCCAAATGTTTCCATTCCAAATTGTGTCCATTTTTCAATCCCCGCAGCCTAAAGCTCAAACTCTCTGACAAGTTCAGTTGTAATGATTGCTTGTCCCAAAATGTACACAGATAGTGAGATTTCAGTCAGAATCGAAAGTAATCTGAGGAATTGTTTAAAAATCTCTGTCATTCTCGTTGGCAAATGAAACATTTTAAAAATAAAAAAAGGGCATGTAGAATAATGTAACATGGTGAGATCACAGTATCCCACTTGGAGGTTCTGATTGCTGGTTGCCATGGAAACTGTTTTTTTGCATCTTGACCACACAGTGAGAGATACATGCACCTGTTGTACATATTTCATTTGCAATTTGACATCAGTCATTCATTTTGTCTGTGAACAATTTAAACAAGCTGTTTTTGTTCCAATTCGCAGCATGTTTAGTTTCATTTACCACTGACAATAGCCGTTTGCATGTTCTTGGATGCACTTTCTTTTATTGCACTCAAGAATGAGTCATTATACTTGAACTGCTTGAAGATGGTATTTATATTGAGCTACACTTGTCCAATAAGAATTGTTTCTTGTGAAATTGTCCAGGAGAATACGTGAGTGAGCGAGATGAGGCACCAGCGGAGACGAGCCTATGCATCCATGGTAACAAGGAGAAAGAAGAGGCTGAAAGCCAAGAAATCACCGAGGAGGATGAGGATGTTGGGAATGAAGAGAAGAGCAAAGATGATAACGAAGATGACGGCAGTGATAGCGATGATGAAGATGACGACGATGATGATTATGAAAGAATCGAATAGCATCAAATGTCACAATTATCAGAATTGTATTTTACTGCGAGAAATCTTCTGAGACGTTGCTAAGTGACTGCTGCATCAGTAAAACTACCTGGCTGCAGAATTGATTGGTTAGGGCTGTCACTGCTGCATCACCATAGCAACACATTAGAAAAATCTCTGCAAATGAGTCAGTGGATGAGAAATGTATACAGCCAGATTTGCTTCAAATGGACAAAATAAGACCTGTTGAAGAGAACATCTCATTCCTTAATCCTCTTTGATGAAAAGACAGTAACAGTCTGAAAATGGAACAATGTCTGGAACCGGCAAGTAGCTGCTTGGAAGGTGATGAGTATCAAATGAAAATAATGTTTCCCTGGTGTATAAATAACTGCCAAGAAAATGTGAGTACTTAAAGAAATTTGAAGACTCTCTGTGTAATCAGTACTTGATAACAGGTGTAACAGCTTGTCCTATGTATTCTTCAATTTAAAATATTGACTACAAGTGTTAGACCAGTTGCAATCCTGTGAGGAGATGTCAAGTAATGTCCACCTGTACATCGGCACAAGGACTTCTCTGTTTGCTGTTTGAACTCGTCCAGTGTATAGCATCAGTCTTTGCATTTTGGTAATGGCTACATGTCCATGTAGGAAGCTTAAGTTACTGAGATACTAGTCAGGTTGGTCCCTTCACAGTGATTTGCTGTATTGCTGCATACAGACAGTATCTCCCAAGGTTTTACATACAGCAACTAGCTTCATTTTGTGAGGTTGTTGGACATGTCCATGTAGTTTGCAGGTGTACAGAAGGTTACAGGTGTGCACATGTAGTTGGCATTTAGCAGTCATCCACACAGCCTCTGCATGCAGACCTGTCGGTAGTGTTTATATTGCAACCCAGCAGACTCCACAGAGCATACAGAAAGACATCAGATGTCACTGTAAGAGACAGTAACTAGACAAAATATCTTCAGCCCTTTTAACCCTTTCAAATCCTTTTTGTTTTCAAAGTTGCTATTTTCATATAGCCTAATCATTCATAGTGCTATACTTAGACAGCTTAATTGGCGTTGCTGGCATTGGTTTTTTGTGTAGTACATGTAATAATCTACTTGGAATGTACAGCTGAGTCTGTGAAGACGAATGTTAATGTAGCTTTATACATAACATGCCACAAACTCAGTCTTACCTTTGTAAAATTTGATAAAGGACCCACTTTTTTACATCAAAGCACAGTAATACATTTTTCAAAATAATTGTGAGATATTTTGTTTAATTTAAGAGATATGATCTAACATAAATTACCAAAAAAATGATTTGAAAAATTCAAAAGCGGTTTTTCTAGGTAAGGTCTAAACTGATTGCTGTATGAGTACATGGGTGTACATGTACAGGTGTATGTGGTTTGTATTTCGTGTACAGCTTAAGTGTGTTCGTCCTGTTGTCCTAGCAACTGTAGCCGGTGCCCTGAAGCTTGTCCAACTGCAGAGTTCACCTTTGGCTCCCTATCTGTAGCTCGTTACCAACTAGAATATAAATTCAATGTGTAACATGCTTAGAAATGACAACTAACCTTAACTATTATTAGCTCCGCAGCTAGAAGACAGAGGTTATGACCTAATTGATTGATGATACATTCAATATGACACAAAACCTCTAAACCAAGGTATGCAAGCAGTTGTATATTATCTGACACCATACAACAGATTGACTGTAAAACAAATACTGTATTTTACTTTCAGTATATTTGTTTATTGATGTGATGACTGTTTTACAGAAACTGTGCCATGTTAACATTTTTATAGGCAATATTGATCATTTTTTAAAATCAACAATTCACATCTAATTTGAACACAGAAGCATAATGATTGGCTTATTGGTTATTGCGTGTAAAGTAACATTGCCTTTTTTTAAAAACAATACTGATCAGGAAAAACTGCAGAGCCCTTTAACTGGATGCGATTTGTTGTCCAGAATCAGGACCATTGAAATATTGCTTTCAGCAGATTATTTGAAGAGAAAAAAGATCAAGGACAGTCTCAGCCAAGATTATGTGGGGGTTGTATCGAACCAAACCAAAATTGCCCCAAAACTTGTGGCTTTCTTTACCAGATACTATTGATGTAACATGTAGAGGAATCAGCAGGTGAATTTAGACTTCCATTATTTAAATTCAAAAAAGAGATCATTCTTGTCCTGGAATTTCAAAGACAAAATGATAGCAAGGGACTTTTCAGTGATTGTTTTGATAGCAGAATAGAATCTGAAGCTACAGTGGAATGATGAAACCAAGAGAGGTGACGTATAGAACATCCAACCAGTTCAAGAAATTGATGTGGGTTTGTGGGCTTCACAGGTACAGGCTGGGAATAAAAGTTCCAAATAATTGAAAACTGTTGATGTCACAAGCGATGATGGCTTCACTGAACACCAACAGGTGTACTGGACAGGTGGATCTTTGAATGGACAAGTGATTTGCGTGACCACTGATGTGGAATGAGTATATATACAGCAGGCTGTGTATGGTTGATTGGACTGAACTGGTTTGAACTAGTTCAAACCAGGTGGAACTGTTCCCATGTTGCATAGCTTTTAAAGCTAGACCATTGAGTCTTTATTTAAGTTTTTTTTGTAGTTTTAAGAAAGTTATTCTAAACTTTGTGCTTCTTGTCTGGCTAATGTAGCATGTTAGGTTTAATTATTGAGAAACAGTCTTTAATGCTATTTTTTCCAGTCAGATTTAAAACTTTATGACATACCAAATTTGTACATATTGTTTCTATTCAGAAAATGATTTTGTACAGTTTAAAATAGAACATTACTAGAGACGAGTACCTTGGGTAAAGTCCCCCCAAACAGTTTTGTCATCAACTTTTTGAGTTGAATTCTTGGCGTTGATGAGTACAGAGAAACTGAATAGAGATATCTGGCAGAGTGGAGTGAGGTTACCAGTCAAATTGTGATGTGTTGTACATCATGGATGTCACTGGTTCCCATATTTATATATTATGTAAGAAACTTCTGCTTGCAGAGCTCTATAAAGTCCAGCCCATTGCACAGGCTGGTAGAGCATTGACTATTGAAATGTGTGTATGAATGTAGTCACCCCAAGTGGACTCATTATTATTTGGCAAATTGACTGAGCTGTAGCTTCCAAACTTGATGGCCTTAAAGTCAGGTTTTCTTTTCTTTTTTTGTCTTGTTGCTGAAGGATTTGTTTATGCTATGAAATCCGTTGATTTTAATCATCCATCATTCATAACGTATCACAGTCCAGAAGTTCAAGTTGTGTGCAGTTAGAAAGACAAACTACAAGGCTCAAAGTATGGACCTGGGTGTTTTGATAGTCAGCTCTTGCTATAGTCAAGTTACAGGAACCAGACATATTACTGTTTTATCCAGGACTTTGTTCTAATTGGAGTGGAAAAACAGAGAAAGACAAGAATTCAAGAGATTGGGATTCCAGAATTAATTCTTTATGACAGTGTTGTTATAGCTGTGTTCCTAGTATCCAGATTTGGCAGCACTGATGGACGTGCATTGTTGAGGTTCCTCTCTATATGAAAAAAAAATGTGCTTTGAAATTTTTTCAGAGTATAAAACTGGTCGTAGTTGTATTCTCCAATTTTTTTTTCGTCTGGTGTGGTGTACAAATTGTCACTAGGTCTGTTCAGTGTATCATCCTCATTCATTGACTTTGCATTCAACTTCCTCTTAAAAGTTGTGGCTAATCAAAGTGTGTATGTACAGGTGCATCACTAATATTCATTTGCTCTGCAGAAAACAAAAGGTGTTTTAGTTGCAAATTATACTTTCAAGCGCTGTTGCTATAACCATCACCATAACTATTACTAGGATCTCTAAGAATGACATTTGTTGAAACTGTCCTTAAAAAGTGCACACTCGGTCATTGGTAATTAAATAAGATTGTTTCCAGTTGTCAATCATTAATTACTTCAGGAGGAATTTTTAGTAGATGGCGTAATTCTTTTTGTGTCTTTTTTTTTTCCAAATAGTTTCTAGACTCAAGATCCTCGAATTTCCCTTTTAGTTCCCCCCATATATGCCCTCCATTGTTGGTTAAACTTGGCTGTGTTCAGAGTATGTAGAAAGCTTTTTGCTGTAGCCAGCTTGTCATTGGAACATGCATTTAAGACGTAACAACCATCCAATCATTAATAATCTTATGTAAATTAACGACCAACATGTCAATAAATAAACGTCATGTAAATTTGCTCTGTTGTCTTCAAGCATCTTTTTAATGATCTTATTTCTCTTGGCTCAATAACGAAACAAACATTTATGTCCCTTGTAGATTTTTCTCGCTCAGAGGTTAACGTGAACGCGTTGTACATTGGGTACTATTTTACAGGTTTTTCAGGCGGATTTAATCACTAGGCGTTAAGACGAGGCCTTTCAAAGTCGTGTCAGACATTTCTACCTGTTGTCAGTATGATCCATTCCACCAATCACGCAAGTGTCGTGTTTTGTTGCTCGAGTATTCTTGATAACGTTCATTCAGTTTTGCGTTCTCTAAAAGTCATTAAACGCGTTTGGGGGATCAAAAGCAGGAATTACGTTTAATTTAATTCACAAACAAACATTTCCGACATGCTTTCGTTCTGAGGTGTTTCTGTAGAATTGGCTTGTATTACATGTATTTGCAAATCAAAGTCCGTTTTTCCATTGCGCTCCATTCAAGCGGGGGCACTACTGTATGTGTATCATATTTTATAGAGATCAGCGGAACTGTCTCAATATTTAATGGGGATTGGTCGAGTTTGGGCGGCCTGTTCTTGACAGGGGTTTCGCGTTCTCGCGCTCGAACGGCGGAAACAAGCCCCAAGAAAACGAATAACAAATCGAGCTGTTTGTGAACGAGAACAAATCACTCGATACTCAGCCGTATTTCAATAGCGCCCTCAACTAAATGGCCCTCAAACAAAACTTTTCTCTACATCGAAGAGGGCGCTTGTCAATATTCCCCCTTGTAGTCGTCAACCATGCGATGTTACAGAAAATGTCAACATGCTTGGGAAAGAAGTCATGCAATTAGGCTTATGGAAGAAAAGCAAGGTTTTGTCTTCTTTCAGGTTTTGGATCATCAACAAGAGCGAAAAGTATTCTACGGCCGCTCGCAGACGAGTTGTTGTCACCGGTGTCGGTAAGACTCCTTGTTATGATGCCTACATCACGTTAGTTATGATTGGTCAAGTTCACCCTGGGCTTAGCTGCATGGGGGAGGCCAGTTAGTGTCACCACCATGACCACACAAAGTGGGTCATGCTTAATTTAGCGTCAACGAGCGTCAACAAAGCGTCAACAAGTTATAATTTGCATATTTATGCAAAGATTTTAATCTAAAATGTTAATTAGGATCCTAAATATCAAATTCTATGTATTAATATAATCTAGGCTTTTCTGAAATGATATTTGAGTGTTGAAATTTGAGTGATAAAGGCGGGCCTGTTCAGCGTTTGTGCAGTCCGACCGGCCGCCATCTTGTTTTTGCATGGACGGCAAAGGAAAGAAAGGTGGCAGCCCCCATACATCATGTACATCTCAAAGGAAGCTAATGCACATACATATTTAATATATGATGGACTGTACATGTACCTTTAACCCTAACCCCCCAGGGTGTATGTAAAACCGTATTGAAATTGGAGGATTTGGGACTGTTATGGTTAATATTATTTAAACTATGAAATTTTTATACTACAAGCAGTAGAGCATGCACTGAGCAGAAATAATCAGCTCACAGAAAGCATCCTGGTAATTTTACCACTCTAGACAGGTGCACATGTACATGGAGTAAATGACAGGTACGTCTTCCTGGATGCTACAGTTCTCCAATGCCCAGCTTGCCCCATTTCTCATCTACTCAGTTTCTTAACAGTTTCTGTGTGTGTTTGTTTTTGTACATGTAGGTGTGTTGTGTCCATTAGGTGTGGGGATTCAGCATGTGTGGCCAAGACTTACTGATGGACAGTGTGGGATCACAAATGTCTGTGGTCCTGGCTATGAAAAGATCCCCTGTCAAGTTGGTAAGACTTGACTCCATTTCAAAATTCTGTAATTCAAGGTCAAACTCATCCAGCTTCCACTCTTCCAGTGATCTACTTAAGGTTGTGGAAGTTTTTGATATTATAAAACAGTGCTGATCTCCTTGGATACAGGGCAGGGCTCTTGTATAAAGCAACTTGGCAAAGTGAGTTGGACGTCACAAAACATTCAGTGAACCTTTGCAGTTTGTGCCCCCAATTTTTTTTAGCTTTTGTCATGCAAATTTCAGCCTGAACCACTTCCATTTATACTGCAAAAGCTAAACATTGCCAAACAAAGTGATGAAAACACGCTGTCATTAAAATAAAATGTAATGTATTTAAGGTCAATAATTCTTAACAATAATGGGGAATTTAAGTCATGTGCACAACCATGCAGAACATTATTCATGGTAGTAGAGGCCAACGATGTCCGTATACCAGTACATATACGCGTATGGCATACAAAGCATGCATGATGCGTCCTTGGAGCAGGCAATGAACCTCATCTTGCGACTGGAAATTCTGTGGTGACATGCTTCCTTCAAGTACCAGTATGAGTGATGGAAGTTCATCTTTGAAACAAATTCATGAAAACAGAAACTAATCATAAAATAGACAAGAGCCTTAGTTCAGTAAATAAACTTGCAGAAATGTTCTCATTCCATCTGCCACTGCAGAGTGGCGTACGTGTTTTGTAACAATGCAGTTTAGCCAGAATGCATCCTGGCTGCTGCAGTGCTATTGACTTCAAAAATGTGTCGAGAGGCACTGTGGGGAAACAGAACAGACAACAGGAGTTTATTTTCTGTATTCTTTAACTTTGGTAATTTATTTTTTTAAGTTGCTGATAAAAATGGTAGGGTCGTGCCAAACATTGGGGTCAGTCAGGACCTGGAATCATCAATTTTAGGGGAGGTGCCAAGTGGGGGTTATAGGCCAGTATTTATTTCTGATCATTGGTGTGTGGGGTACATTGTATGGAACATGTCTTGATTTGATTTCACAAAGCTCATTCACAAAAACCCACTTGAGATCCAGTTGTTACAGTTGGAAACTTGAATGAAGCCTTTCAATATTTGGCAATTTCAGCTGGGTATGTGCCTAAAGGAGATGGCATGGGACAATTCCAAGCTTCAAAGATTGTTTCATCCTCAGTAAGTTGAAGAAATAAATTTGATTCCATTGACCTTGTGAATTGCGTTGATCTTGTCTGTTACCTTGATTTATTATTGGTAATTTTTCTAATGTTGCTAGCATCATGATTTTGGGCAAGGTCCCAGACCACACAGTAGACCTCATGCTTTAACAAAGCCATCGACAAACTTTATCTTTCAATACAATTCTCTAAAGTACATGTACAAACATATACCGTAGGTTAAGTTGATTGTGTTTCTAAGCTTCACATTTGACATTTGTAAGGTTATTACAAAAATTGCAAATCCTGAATTGCCATTAGAGGTGCAAGTTTCAAGTGAAGTGAAAAAGGAGCCAAATAATAATTTCTTTTTTATTGCTTGTTCCCTGTTAATACGTGGACCTGAGCCAAGACTTTTGATTTGACTTATGATGGACCGGACACTTTAGTATTGCCTCGGTGTCATTCATTTTGGCATTTATAATCCATTGCTTTTTTTCTCTCTTTCCAAGGAGCAGAGAACAATGTGTGATGCCTCGGTCTTTGCTCTAGCAGCTGCAGAGGAAGCTTTTAGGCAAGCAGAATGGAAGCCATCAAGCCAAGAGGACATGAGGGCTTCAGTAAGCTCAAGTTGAATCCAAACTCCCTAATCCCTCACAATCTTTCAAGATCCCAACTCTAACCCAGTAAGCCAAGAGGACACGAGGGCTTCAGTAAGCTCAAGTTGAATCCAAACTCCCTAATCCCTCATAGTCCTTCAAGATCCCAACTCTAACCCAGTAAGCCAAGAGGACATGAGGGCTTCAGTAAGCTGAGTTGAATCCCAAATCCCAATCCTCCACAATCCTTCAAGATCCTCCATTAGAAGGGAAACCATTGACACATTCATTTTTGCTCTATTTTTTTCAAATACCATAGGGTTGGCCTCGCCTTTTCCAGTCCTGCATATACATTTGGAACCCTTATAGGATTTTTGAGGTTTTGGGAAGATTTAGAGGATCTGGCAAGATTTTTATCTTTCCCTCTTTAATCTTTCTCTACATGTCATTTAAAAAGTTCCCTTTGTGGTTGGTGCTCTGACTTGATGAGACACTTAAACTGTTTAATTCTTCTGCGCAGGGTGTTGCTGTGGGTATGGGAATGGTTGGTCTAGAGGATGTTGTGAACACGGGCATCACTCTTCAGAATCAGGTAAAACAGAAAATGCGACTGCCAGTGCAGTAATCAATCTATTGACCGGCAGTGCAGTAATCAATCCATTGACCGACAGTGCAGTAATCAATCTATTGACCGGCAGTGCAGTAATCAATCCATTGACCGGCAGTGCAGTAATCAATCCATTGACTGGCAATGCAGTAATCAATCTATTGACCGACAGTGCAGTAATCAATCTATTGACCGACAGTGCAGTAATCAATCTATTGACCGGCAGTGCAGTAACCAATCAATTGACCGGTGTTGAGTATTTGACTTTTCAACTTGGATAAACAGATATGTACGAAAATGGGATTTGAGAAGCAAAACATGAAAAATGGTTCCAGAAAGAAAGTTTCCCAACTTGGATCTGAATTGAATTTCCTATTTTTTCCGTTATCCACAGGGTTACCGGAGGGTCAGCCCTTACTTTGTGCCTCGTATTCTGACCAACATGGCTGCTGGCCATATCAGCATCAGGTATAGCTTGAAGGTGACTGCTATATTCAAATTTGGAAATTTGTTTAATTACAAGGAAGAAGCATTCAATCTTTACGTGCAGCCTGAGCGATGCTATCACCAACATGGTTCTGTTTATTGTTACCCAGTTAGAACTTGAACCACATTGCTCTGGATGACATAGGAATGTCAGTGATTCTTTGGAATAAGGCGCACATGTACAGAGCAGTGGCACATGTTTATTTACATCCAAAGCTGATTATTTTAATACGAATGTTTCCCGAACATTTGAGCAAGGTCGTCCGATTTCATTCGCATGTCTTTCGATGGCTGTCCTTCGAAGATTTAATTCAGCTGAATTAAGTTGTTCACTTAAGTCAATCAGTGTTCAGTGAGTTGACAACTCTGGAGTGGCGGCTGTCATGCACATCAGGTGTTCATAAAATCCGATTAAAAAACATCTGGGCAAAATTCATGTGCTGTGCATACGCGCACACGTTGTGATCGTTTTTTTTGGGGGGGGGGCAGAACAAAATGAAATGCTCATTTACTGATTCTGTGTTCAGGTTGCTTGCATATCGGCCTTGTTGACCTATCGTTTTAGAATACAGACACAGATATGCAAACAGATGTACCAACTTTTGAATTTTCCACAAGTTTGTGCACAAACATTGGATGCAGGCATCACTTTGTACAGGAGTCAGTGCTCTGGTTTTTATAGATGCCGTAGCCATGGTAGCTCTGTGATTGTGATACAAAGGATGTTTCAACTCGTGGTGAATTCAATTTACACCTGAATGATTCCTGTTGAGGAGGTATACACACATAGGCTTAAGCAAGTCTATAAATAATGAACTTTGCCATAGGCCATGGTCGGACAGTGTGTGACATTCTCTCTGAGTGTATGGAGCATGAGTGA